ATGTATGTATAATACATCCTACACTTGTAAAAAATCCATACATAATCAAGTATATGTACATATATAAAGTATAAATAATATATACATGTAAAATATATGTACGTTTACTTTCTCTTGTACAATCTCTGTTTATCTATTTAAGAAGAATAATTAAAAGATTATTATAAAAATAATTTTTACATTATTTTCCTTTAAGTTAACTAAAATTATTTCCACGGTATTTTAAATTATATTACTAATTACTACAGCATTGCGCGTAATTCATTTTTTTATTGCGTGGAATTATTTTTATGCGTAATATCTTTCATAATTAATGATAAAATGTAATATTATTTAAATAGACAGAACTTAAACGATATGAAAATGTATATAATACATATTAGCGTAGTAGGTTGAAAATAGATTGACAGTCATCGAGAATAGCCAAAGTCGATAAACGCGCGTCTGCAAATAGATTCCAGGAGATTACGAATGAGCCTGTCATAAACTTGCCGTCATATTTCCTAGTATTGAAGAGGTATTTTCCTCTGAATGTAGTTTATCTTTACGTCACCGGGAATGTTTGAAACAAGTTAGTGCAAGAAACCGTTTGATTTTCTATCAGCATAGTATTCTTGAAATAATGAACGATCATCGGAAAAGTAAACTGTACGTCCTGTCAACTCATTGTGCATCAATTGAACTTTCAACGGTAGAGCGCTACGAAATTTATAAGGTAACAGCAACATTTAGAACAGTGTTCATCATATTAGTGATAGATATAATTTGTACTAACATAATTTATATTAACTATAAAGAACAGATATAAAAAGTTAAATTAACATTCACAAAATGGTGGATTAATACCCATTTCTACTAATGCAGATTAATTTTAATCTTGGTTCAATTTACTCTTCATCTTTTTCTAATTTTTAGAATTAACGACACCTTTTATCTCCTTATGTGGAGCATAGGACGTCTATAGACCTCTTTTGTCCGAGGCCTATATTCGTTTCTCGAATCAGATAGTTTTTCTGATTTGTGGGTGATTAGTCCACAGAATCCTACCTCAGTTAGATATTAGAGACAAATATCTACTGATATACTACTGATGTATAGGACCTACAGTTTTTAACGCCGAATCCGAACGGCGCTGATGATCATAGATCTTTTGATCACCAGGTGGAGCCATTTTTTGGCTCATTAAACGCGAAAAATCATCGCGTTTGGGCGCACGTGGGATTGAACTCGGGTCTACAAATCGCGAGTCAATCGCACAGAGCGGTGAGCCACTCGACGTCAATTTTTAGAATTAGAAAAAGATTAATAGTAAGTTAAACCGAGATTACAGTTAATTTGCATTGGTGGAAACAGGCATAAGAGAATCTTAATTCCTTTATTAATTCTATATTTTATATTGTATAAAATTTTTCAAAGCTAGGGCATTATACGTCGTATATAAGAAAAATTAATAATAATTTAAGGGAGAGAGGCAGATGACCGAACGTGGACAACTTCAAAAACAATACGTTGCGAACGATGGTATACAATATATAATAATACATTTGCGTTAAATCATTTGTCTCTCATCCGTTATATTTTAATTAAAATTCTAACTCAAACAACGAGAAAGAGCATAATAAATGATCACGTGAAAGTCGAATAAAAAAATTAATATCTGCCTTTTAATCGTACATTCGCTTCTTTTTTCCTTGTCATTGAAAAACGTTGTCAATTTCGCGCATGATTGCTTCTTTTTATGCGATAGCATCGCTTTTATTAATTTTCCATTATTCATCCTTTTGTGCGTCGTGAAGAAAATATTGCATTATCGAGACGAATAGAGACTATAGAGAGATGATCGTCTTGTCTCTCATATGAAGTTAGAATAGATCTTGGAAGTAAGGATCTTTGTTCTCCTGTGTTCAGCGACGTGGGTGCACGAGACGGTATTATTAGAATTGTGTAATTTGCATATTACACAAAGAAAGTAATTAAAGTTTTTAAGTACGCGCCATCGTGATTAGTTTTAAAGTACTTCAGATATTGCTATGAGTTGGGTAATTACGAGTCCGGAAATTTTTACAAACGCAAAGAGACACGAAGATTAATATACAAACCAACTACTCAAATCAGAAAAGTTATTCTAGAATGACAGCTTGGAAGTGTATCATTCCAGTGATTTGCACTGTTAAATTTATAATATCAAAAATTATACTTAATTTATTATATAATTTATGTTTAATTATTCATATAGATTTTTATTATTTTTATATTCAATATACCGTTAATTTAACAGTTAATAACAGCTGTTAATTAACAATTAACTAAAACAATAAAGTTCAATAATTTAACTGAAGAAACGTATTTTAATTTAATTCAAATTTAGTTTATTTATTAAATTAATGTATAAATGCCGTTTACTTTGAAAGGATTTGAAACAATTCATGACTATAGAAATGAGTTGATTTAGCTTTTTTAACCACGTGTTGTGCATTAAAATAATACGTTTTAACATATTTGGAAGTAATATAATAATAACAAAATGTTATTTGACTTCAGGATTTAAATTAATTTGATTTAATTTAATATATAACATTGTGACCATTCATCATTTTAATTTTAATTACCGATTTTTCAATATTGAAAAAGTGCGGGTCACTTATCGTCAATTTTATGATCAAGCAAGAGAAGAGCGTCCGATAAGATGTAACTTTGTGACATATGTTGCGCGATATATTGAAATCCTAAATGGGCATCCCAAGTTTTTGCTTTACTATAATCCTATTGATTATTTTAATCATTTTAAATTTATTTTATGCGACTTAAGATTTCTATAGAGGGAATAAATACATAAAACTTTAATTCGAGCGTGTTCAATTTCCACCTAAACGTTTCCCAGTATCATATTATTTTTGTCTAACATTCGGTAAGTAACAAGGATAAAATGACACTTACTTGGTACTTGGGTGGGAATCTGAATACAGCTCTGTACTTTTAAATACTTTAAAAATGTAATTAAAATGTTTATTGCATGTAATTGTTGAGTAATTGCGTTGATAAACATATTCATTTTTCACAAATAACTTTTGAATAAGTTTTCATAGGGTTTTCAAGATCTTTCTTTTATAGTGATATACAATACTTAGCTAATTGTATTAATCTTATACTTATTTTTTAATAATTAATAATTAACTAAATATAGATTATTTTTTAATTTTTATTATATTTTTGAATGAATTTATGTATTTGGAGTATCCTTTCTTCCTTTGCCCTAATTTTACATTTGAATTTTTGAGAGTATATTATTTGTTATTATTGTTATTTTCTTCCTTTGTAAGATCTTCTTTTTAGGATTTTAATTTTTTTGCAGAAATTAAGAAATATTGCTTTCTGTGTGCTTTGATTTTATTAAACTTTTCACAAATACTTTTAAATACATACGTGTGTGTGTGTGTGTGTGTGTATAGAGTGTTTGGAATTTAAATGTCAAAACTTCAAGAGTGTGTAAGGAATCGATAAAGTAAGAAAAAAAATCCTGTAGAAATAGACTTGTTTTAGTTTTGCTTTGAAGAAAATTACAAAAAAGACAAAAAGTAGGTGTTTTGTTTCTGGACGTGAAGAAGTAATGTCTTAGCCACCCCTATCACCAGATTTGACACTACTAGACTTCTTTACGTAGAGGATCCTAAAGCAGGTAGTTTATTCGTTATCGATTAACTCAGGAGAACAATTGAGAAATCGAATTGAAGCCTAACCAGATCAGTATTTAACTGCAATACGAGCTATCCGTATTAATGATATATAATATATGCTTGCATTCCTGCAAAAGGCCAACATTTTAAACAATATCTGCATTAAGCAAGTGAATAAATATAACATGAATAAGTAATTAAAAAAGTACATAAACGAAAATTATCGTTTTGTCTTTTTTGTGATTTTCTCCAAAATGAAGCAAAAACGAGCATAGTTTCTACAAGACTTTTGTTCTTATTGTTAGTTTATTAATTCCTTGCACTCTCCTGAAGTTTTGACATTTAAATTCCAAACACCCTGTATGTATATATATGTATATATATATAAAAGTATGTATATGCATATATACATAATTCATAATTTTTTGCAAATATATTTTATTTTAAAAATCGATAATAATATTGAAGAGGACTCCTTATAATAAAATAATGTAAACAAATTTAATAACGGCTATTAGGAGTCAACGCAGTAAGAAATGCGCAATAAATATATACGATAATGTTCGATAATATAAAAATATGTTTAATACTAAATCTTGAAGTAGTCAAATAAAATTCTGAACGTTTCGGCTATTCGTTTTAGCCATCAAGGTTTAGTATTAAACATATTTTTATATTATGGAACATTATCGTATATATTTATTGCGCATTTCTTACTGCGTTGACTCCTAATAGCCGTTATTAAATTTGTTTACAATATTTTATTTTGTTTGCTCTGCAAAGATATATGAATGCATTTTTTTAGCATTTTTTAAGGCCAATTGCATTTTTCTATGGATATTGAAATCATTTACTAGTTTCTATTGTGTAATTACCTTGTACATCTTAGTACGTTATCTTCTATATTGAAATCACCGCTACCGCATTACTTAGGTAATATGACGTGCGTCGTAACAAAAAAAATAGAATTGTACCTTTTTGCCAAGGAGGGAAAGAAAGTAAATTCGCAAGTTTAAAAACCATCAGTATGGGGGCCATCAGTAGAGATATTGCGTAAAAAGCGAGGGTGGATCCGTATCGATGAAGTGGAGGTGGGGAACGATCTTGTCGTTGGTGACGACAGTGTGGGGATAGAGAGGGCGGTAACGCGGGTATATATTCTCGATGCAACCGAGACTAGCTACAGTTCATCAGGAGGCAAAATCGACGCAAGAGGAAAGATCGAATAAACGCGACACGCGATCGTATCAAGTTGGAAGTCTGTATTAGTGACAGAAGAAACATAAAGAAATAATTCTCTCGATAAACGTGCGAGATATAGAGAGGGAACAAAAGTTCGGTGTCAAAACTAAATTACTCGTGGCGTAAACGTAGGCGATTATTCTTCGGTTAGCTTTCACTCGTTTCACACAAATTAATTGTGGTGCGCGCGAAGATGAATCTATCAGTCAGCATGCCGATTGTGTGCGTTCTGCTCGTGACTCTGCTGTCGGAGACGGCGCACGCCAGGCCGCCACAGTTGGTTATGAGGTACAACTTTTCTTCTTTAGCAGCCCTTACGATCCACTAAATTTTTGCCTGTTATTTTTTTTTTCAATTATGTCTTCCTTCACACTTAGAGAAAGATATACACGGAGAGAACAATTTTGCTAAAGTATCTAAAAATTTGGCTACATACAGATCTGAAAATAATTTTGCTGGACTATCGAAATAATTATATAGCTGGAATATCAAAACTTTTTTCAGCATTATTCATTGTACTTGAATGTCCTATATAATTACTTATAGTAACTTAAAATTATTTACAAATCTGTATCTAATTAAATTTCTAGATTTTCTTTTTTAAACTTTAATAAAATCTTTTTTTCTTCCATGTAATAATGTCAATTATACAAGTTTTACATTTTGAATTAAGTGATTACGTGCGTTTATGACATCTGAAAAATGAATCATATGTAATTCTCTTATCGCGACAATAATTATATATAGTATAGTTGAATAAACTATTAATAATTACATACATATGAAACTTATATAGTTGTTACCTTTATATAGTTTTTCCCTAAATGTAAAATTGATACTACTTTCTTATCTTTTCCATTATATCGTCCTTCCAACGCTTCTACAACATTAAGTTTATTTAATCTTGGTCTTTATTGCACTATATGTTTAGTTACCTTTTAAATCAAATTAAATTGAAATTCTAAGGCGGATGGCGCATTCAACTCAAATTCAAATCGAAGAATTTAAATCTTACAGTCGTGTCATTTGGAATGTCGTAAGGCAATTCGTAAAATTATTGCGATGTCCCAGCTTCTTCGCGATTGACGAAATTCAAATTCAACGTCGATTTGGCTTTTACGTTGCCAATCACTCTCGTTCGATTGATATCATTTCGTTTCTAGCGTAAAATTGGATTTATTTGACATAATACGATCTCATTTCGCTTCGTTATCGTATAATAGCTGCGCGATTGACTGTGTGAATAATTGAATTTGAATAGATATACAGAGCAGTACGAAAAATAATGCGGAGTGTAATAGATTGAGAGCCCAACGATTTTGATTTCTGTCCACGGAGACGTAGTGACTGATTTCCTTTCTGAAATCTTCGCTTGCGATGTGTGTGATAATACAATATGTTTGTTGAACATACAGGCTTTGTCGCGCGCTCTATCTAATCTGCGTTGCACGATTCTAGTCTGCCAAAAATTGAAAAAAAAGTAGTACCATTTTTGTTATAAAGCTTATAGCTATAAATTAGCTTATAGCAAAAATATTTGATCCTAATTATTTCAATTAATTTTAAAGATTTAAAATAAGTAATGTTTTTTATTTTTATTATATTAGAAGCTAATTTTATCATATACAACCAAAAATTCAATAATTTGATTTTTGATTCTTGACTGGCTAGAATTGATTCTGGCTCACTGTGTGGCACGATCCTTCGTATGTGTCGCATACATCCTTATTAGTATATTAAGATTAACGCGGATATATTAATGGGTACATTCTTTTTTTTCAATGTGTCAAGATTAATCTTCAAATGGTACATTAGTGTGAATTCGTATCACGAAAATTTTCAATTTGTTTGCGGTTGCTTAAAAGATAATTTACTTAGAACGAATTTTTCATTGTAAAATAATGTTTTTTACTAAATTTAAGTGATACCATTGAATTTGAGAAAATTTTACCATAGAAAAGTATGGTTTCAAAGAAATTAATGTATGGTTTTATTCAAAAATTAAAATTGTTATGGTTATAATCGACTGTCGACGGTTACATGTGAATTGGGATTTCAGTAAAAAGTAATCTCCAAAGAAAGTAGTGACCTTATCTATTATATATATATATTTATATACTGACATTTTTTCCTGGAACAATTTTTATGAGAATATTTTATAAAATATTTTCGATTTATATTGCAGGCCGAAACGCCTTTCTGATCAAAGACTCGCCGAAATCGAGACACTTTTAGCGCTGGAAAAAGTGAAGGGTTACGTGGTTCCCGTAGGACTTGGAATAGTGGACCCAGCTAAGTTGTAAGTTTATTTTATAATTTTCTTCGAACGGTGCAATAATGTAATTAATTAATTTTCTATTTTTATCTACCGTTCGTTTTATTAATATTTCTAATATATTTCTAAATGCATTTGCTTATATGCATAATTTGATGATACTCTTGAGGCTTTCATGGGCATTTTCTGTACAGAAATTATGTGTTTTGCTGGTTAACTCCGTGTCCAATAGAGTTGGGTATTTGTAATCGATACCTACGATTACAAGTAATGTAATAGTAGGATTGACAGATTACAATTACATTTGTAGTAATCGTAATCGCAGTGATTACAATTACAAACAATCTGTAATTACAGATAATTCAGGTGATTACAGTAATTGTAATCTGATACGATTACGCTCACAATTACTTAAGTTATTATTCTATATATCACATTTTACGGGAAAGAACCAATTAGAAACATCTACCACTTGTCATGAAAAATGTTGCACAATATTGCAAAAGTGTAATAAAGGTAAAAATATAGTCAAACAATTTTTTTTAAAATTGTTTACAATCAACTTATTAATGTCAATGCTATTCGTCGAGTAAGGTAGAAATAAAACAATATAAAAATTGCACTTTAAATTTTTTAAAACATCTAAAAAAAAAATATGGTAATACCTATGTTGAAGAATACAAGTTGTATTTTGTATAGAGAATGATAGAAATGGCACAATCGGCTTCAGCTTCAACAAAATAGACGTATTCGTAGCAGAGTTTGACGTAATTCACAGCTTTTGATAATCAAAATACTTAAACAATATTCCTGTAATCTTAATTATAGAGTAATCAATTACTTTGGTAATCATAATTACTGATAATCATATTGTCTGATTACTAAGATTCAAACTATACTTACAATTAGTAATTAGAAAATATGATTGTCAGTAATCATGATTATCAGTGTAATTAATTTCTCTGTGATTGAGATTACAGGAATTGCTTATGTAATTGATTATCGAAAATAATTGATTATACCCAACTCTAGTGTCCAAGTCCATTTTTGGAATGTCAAGGTTTCGTGAACATTGCAGTTTATTTCGTTATTTCAAAACAGCTTGATACTATAGCAGCCTGATACTATAATATATATTAGGCTGCTCCTCGCTCTGATGAAATAAACTGTAATGTTCACGAAACGTTGGCATCATGGGCGTCGACTACAGTGTGGTTGATGTGGAGTACTCCACACTCGAAATTTTTCCGTGTGTGGAATTCCACACTTGGAAATCCGAAGAATACAAATATTATTTCTTGATGAAATAATTTATTATTTAATATTTTATCAAAAATGAAAGTTGATTAAGCTAAATATGAAAAGGAGATTAAAGACATGTGTACGACAATGCTCCCTATTTTGTTAAATAGTACGGCTGTTCTGCATATTCATTCGGATATTATACAAAATCTGAATTTAGAAGCTGTAATGGATGAATTTATAAGCAGTAACAAATAAAACTGTAGAGTTCTACATTTTCGTGTTCAACGCAGAAAAAATAAGTGTTACAACTGTAATAAAACAACTGCAATAAAACATTACGATAAATAATAAAAACAAACGTGACAAAATTATCAAGGTGAGTTTATAATATATATAACAAAATTATCAATTTTGTTTGTTTTGCTGACGTCTCTCTCCGAGGCGTCTGCAATGAGGGTGCGATAATCCACCAAATAATAGCGACATTAATAACAAATATGAAATAATACGACCTGCGTGTGCCGCGCTTTCCGTGATTCCAGCCAAATTCTTTATACAGCAATCTCTTCCTCGTGGGAGGCGACGTCTTCTCTCTTCTAGCGATAGGTGAGGCGGCCGAACACAAGAATACAGCGTAGCCACCGGCTCTGATCGTAAATTACCGGCAAAATCCGAGCTCAGGATCGTCTTAATATTAACTAAAACTTAACTAAATAGCGACAAGAAGAAAAAAAAGAAAAATAATACAATAATCGCAAGAAAAAGAATAAAATTAAGTAGTACAATAATCGCAAAAAGGAAATAAGAATAATAAATAATGTCGCACATTCGCTTGTGCGCTCGCCCGTTGACCCTGAAGGACCCAGGATCTCGCGTTATGCTGTTTTTCTGGGTGACTGACAAAATGTCACGTCACAGTATGTAACAAAAAATATATATATTATAAATAAATGTATGTAATGTGTTCTAAAGAAATATGTTGCAAATATATACATATGGAAAAAATATATAAAATCGCAACAACTCTCTCTAAAAAAAAAACTGATAATTCCTTACAGCAGTATGTATACACATTTTGTTGGGACCTTTTCTTTGATTGTCAGTTTGCTCTCGCGAGCTCCACATATGATGAAATCCCAAGTCGACGCCCCTGGTTAGCATTGTAAGAATGAACACGGAAATAACCTGTGAAATGCATAACTTCTATATGCAGAATTTTCTTTAAACATGTTTAATACGGTAAAAAACGCTACTGATAAGATTTTATAAGATTAAATTCATCCATTTGCTGAAATTCGCTAAATAATTAATAATCATGACTGTCATTTAATCTCGTCTACGTGACGCAGACGAGATTAAATGATAATCGCTAGGAAGTTAATCACGTCACGATAAGAATTATGTCACTATTTTTTTAGATATATTCTTAAACGTAATCACTTATACACAGAACTTTTTTTACACTTATTTTACGAAAGCAAAAAAATACTATCGATAGCAAAATTAAAATTGTCTGCATTCAAAAATCTAATGACATGCTATAGCGAAGCACAAATGACTTTTTTGTAATTATATACATATTTTAATTAGTTTACATCTTTCAATAGAAATAACTTTTAAATTCCAACTTCATACTTTAAACGATATTGAAGATGACCTGATAGAAAGATCGAAATGTTTATGCAATATATTCTGATGTTATTATACGAGATGACTTTATAAAAATTGTTTTTACAAAGAACATTGTCTTTTATGCTTCTTTCTTATTATTAGTAATAATGATTTATTCACTTTGTCATTGTATAAAATTGTCTATTTACTGAAATTCACCAATTTCTATTGCGCCATCATAACACAAACAAGATTATAATTGATAATTGTATAATAGGAAAATAGTTATGTTACGACAAAAGTTGTATTAATTTTGTTCATTTTTCACGTATGTTCCTAACATAAGCGCAAATGCTTACACGCAAAACTTTTCTTTATTGGAATGCTCGAGTTTCTGACGAAACGTGCATTTTGTATGTTTTTATTTATTTCATTTTTCTTAAATAGAATCCTTCTCTCTAGATTAAAAGAAAAAATGCAAATAGCTGTGGGAAACTACAAACATCTGTATGAAAAACCAAAAAATTATAAATTACAGTTTTCTGTTATCACGTAGGTCACTAATTCTTTACATATATATAAAAAGGTACTTTCCCATATTTGTGAATAATGTATATGGTAATATACATATATGAGAGATCTTAAAATAATGATTTTGAAGTTCTTACAAGAGAAATTAATTGAAAAGTCTGAGTGTACATAACTTAGCACTCATATATTATGCAATGTATAGGACATGGCCGGATAAGAAATATGTACATGTAATAACGTTTTACTTAATAGTTTATTTACTGTGCCATTAAAGATTTCATCTACCGCAGTTGTACACTTATTGTTTCTTGAATTCTTCAAATCCTTAAGTTATAGCTTATCTATATAGCAGATACAGAACTACATAAAACATAGAAAAATCACTAAGTGAAAATGCAAATAATATGAGAAAAGTCGCTCTTAACTCTCACATCTAAAAATTAATGTAAAAGGAATAATGTTTCGAATGTTCATTATTCTTATTACAATATTTCTCCATACAAGAGACAGTTTGTAGAGAACGTTCTTCATAGAGAGAGAGAGAGAGAGAGAGAGAGAGAGAGAGAGAGAGAGATGTGTAGAAGATATTCTTTGAACATCTTTAAAACGTTTCTTAAAGGTCTGTGTTGTGTAAATTCTTAGAGAGGTCTTCTTCATTGTGTATTCTTAGAGAAATATTTCAAACTCTGCAGAAAATAACGGTGTAACGATACGATAATAAAGTTTTTAGTTGGTATATAGTTAAATTAATAATCTCATTCATATCTTGATATCCATCGATACGCGCGCTATCGATTTCAGCAGGAAAAATTGAAAAAAGAGACAACGAAGCACTTTGACAAATAAGCTTACAAATTGTAATGCAACGACGTCTGCTGAATAACATAATTGCATCGAGAGACGACCGGTAAAGAGAAAAAGAAAAGAGAAAGAGAATAAGGAGAAGATGCGATCGTGACGAATGAAGATGAGAAGAAGGCAACGGTGGTAAATGGAATCTCTAACTAGGTTACTTCTCTTTCAATGCTTCGTGAATAAATTCCTCCGGATGCTGTTCCCATCTCGCGTCGTTTCTGTGAAAAGGGACCTTGTGGTACTGCGATATACCAGTCTCTCTGCGTCGTAATCGCGCGTAAATTAATTGATGACGATATTTACGATGTCAATGATGTTTAACGTCGCATATGTAATTAACAAGGAACATAAGTATTGTCGAGCGCATCGCATTGTGCACGCCTCGATAATTGACAAGCCAGTACTCAAAACTTGACTTTTCACGCTTTCAAGTATTGCGATCATACAGCTGAAGTGTTGGAGAATATTAAATAATACATGTACTCGCGAGCGGTACAACTTCGTCGCGTTTTTATATGATTTTCACTCGGCAATCCTTACCTCGATTCTCAATAGGTCAGTTGACATTTATCCTAGAATAGACTTCAATTCACCGATCAGATTAATATTAAACTTGCCAGAATACTCTGATTAAATCGCGTACCTGATCTAATGCGAAATTATCCTGGGGCAATTGATTGTTTTGACAACGCAAAATTCAGGAAAATTACAGCGCTCGAAGTCGTTACGCATCAAGTCAGATGGCTGAACAATAAATTACACGCAAAAAATATAACTTAGCTATGACAAGAGAGTGACGAGCATAACGCGAGAATATTCGTGGTGAGCCAGGTGAACGGCAGGAGATATCCAAGTTATTCACTACTCGTGATAGCTTCTCATACGGGCCATATCCTCTCAACTTGAAATCGACACATGCAATTTGCCCAATCTTGCAATGGCTGCGTTTAATAGAGTAAATTGATCAGTGAGCGCTCAGTAATTCTTTAATATGATTGTTCTCACACTTAGATCCAGCAAAAAACTAAACTCAAGAAACAAACATATTAAAGTTTCAATGGATGCTCAATGATCAGTTTTCTTTGCTGAGCGCAACTAATATGTGTACATTTAGAACGACAACCGCTCACTGAGCGTTCAGTAAGCAGTTGTTCTGAATGCACCCATTAATTGTGGGGGATCGATGGCCTTACACACACAATATTGTATTTTGACGCTGGTGTCACTGGTACATCTTCATCCTCTATCCTTCCGATAGCTGTCCTTCGTTCTCGCTCCTTCGAGCGCAGAAGATCCTGCGTTCTTTCTTTTTAAGATCCTTTCGAGGCTAGTCGTACCTCAGTGAAACAACTCATTACATTCAGGAATCACCGCGATCCTCGTGTTTATTATCGTTAGTCTACTCTTTCCAAAATAATCTTGACATATGTTGTCAAGGTCATTATCCTGAGTGCCCTTGAGAAAGTTTTAACCGTCAAACTTTATTCGTTAAAAAGTTATTAACAAAAAAAGTTTAAGAAATAATATCTTAAATTGCTTAACTTCAATGTTCTAGTTAAATTATATCAAAGACACAAAAGACTTGAATCTTAAATTGAGATATAATTAAATTTGGCGTTTGCGGTACAAAACGTAAATTTTGCATCTCTATTGGAAATTCCGAATTTTTGCATGAATTGTGAAAAAAAAGGTCTGAAGAATGTGAGGCAACCGCAATTATATATTCTGCATAATCGGCGCGGCAGACATATGATACTGCGAGAAATTGATAGGAAATTTAAAAATACTTCAAGCTACGAGTGCGATTCTTCTTCTCATAGTCTTTTTCTCGTTAATATAGTCACCCATTATTACATGAGACCTCTTTTTCGCATATCTCGGTGATGACGTTATCGGGAAGGCAATTAATTGAGCTTTAATAAACAAATTGTGAGATGATAGATATTGTCGTACTTGACAGGAGATATTGTAAATTATGCTTGTGTAACAACCATTCGCTAGCGATAAAACTCATTAGATATTATTACTTAGCGGATCCTCAGAGATTGCATGAGTATTGCATGACTGTTGCGCTGAATGACGTTATCTCTCTTCCCCTTTTGGCATAAATATTCAGCATGATTGTGCAAATTTATTTAGCTTAAACGTTCAGTTTGATTATGCAAATTTACCTGGAACGTAGCAAAATAAAATTCAATGTTAACAAAAATTCAAAGATGTATATGTATGTCACATCTCAGAACTTAAGTAATATTACTAAAAATATAAAAATTTCGTATAGATTGTCTTATTATTTCTAAATATCTACGTAAAATTTGAGCACAATTCTCTTATTGATTTAAAAATTATTTAATTTTTTTGTTAGTATTAACTCTTATGTAATACCGTGTTTTTTAATACTTATTTGTAAATTTCATGAGAAAGTAACATTAAATGTAAAAATTTATTTGGAATTACTTACTTATTTAAAAGTTATTGACCTAAAATTGTGTAAAAAAATATGCTCGTTTTGATGCATAAAACCATCAGAAGCTAAATTATTTTATCTGTGGGATGGATCTTATTTTGCATGGAAAGTAACACTTTTAGGCAAAGGGGGAGTGAAGTAGACCTCGCTTATTTGCATGAAAAGTCATTACAAAATTGTAAAAATTGTGTTCCATTTATACAACTTGTTTAAACGAGTGAGACTAAAACCTGTTGAAGGTCACTCAGGGTCATGACCTTGACCTTGTCAACAATATATGTCAAGATTATTGTAATCGGTGAAATCGGTCCTAATGTGCATAATAAATAAAAATCTTTTTAAGGGCTAAAAGTCCTAACATACTTAATTTTTATTGCAATAAACCTTTCCTGTGTTATAAAAACGCATAAAAATTATTGCCGTAATAATCATTTAACCTGTATAGATTATTAGTCATAAATTAATAATTACAATAATAATTAATAAAACTTTATTTAGATATAGAAGATAAAAGATGTTTTATGTACGCAAATAAAATATTAAAAAGCATCTCAAAGTGAAACATCAGTAAAAATACTGCTTAAACTCGAGCTGAGTATGTGTGTAGATAATATAAAAAGTCAATCACGAATATATTTAATATAAATAAAAAGAATAATAATAATATATAAATAATAGTGAATTGATATAATTAATATACAGAAAAATAATGTTACAATTGTATTACTTTTTTATTGAAAATGATTTTGTTAATTTAATAATGAAATAAATAATATTTTATTAAAACACAAAAGTATTTGTTGATGTATTTATTTTATTAATACATGTTGACGTATTTGTTTCATTATTGTTATTATAGAATTATATCAAATAATTGTTATTAATTATATATATGTCGTGATGCTGTTAATATATTTTTTCTCGTGTATAAAACTACTTATAATAAGATGATAATCGAATAAGGTTCCGAGTTCGATGAATCAATCATTTGACTATTGTTTTACTATGTACAGAGGCCGTAAAAGGAGATCCATCTCGGAGAACAATCCTCCAAAATTACAACATTTCGTACTACTCATTACTCGTCCAGGCTCGGAATCAACCGTGGACCAATCTGATTAGATTCATCCCTTAACGTGGGTAAGTGTAAGATGATATATACTGATAGCGTTTAAATTGATGCGCATTTACGTAGTATACGTATGTGTAATCTATTTATCACGCTCTTGTTTCGCACAATGTCGTAGCTATGAAACTTTCACGTGATAATAATCACGTACAGCCAACATTATCGGACGCTTTACCTACACACTTTATTTTCGGAGACGGGTTTCACGCGAAATGCCGTAACGGTCCGTAACATTTTCGAATATACGTGACAGAGTTTCCTTCGTGATCGTTTATCATGCGTCCGTTGCGTTGGAGTGAATAATTTTACGACAAAGAAAGATCGGTCGCACCAGCAGTGCGTGTTAATATCTAATGAATTGCTGAGCATAATTAACAAAATCTACTAGCACGAAGTTTCCATTTCTGAAATATAAAATGTAATGCTCTCATTTGGTAGTTCGTTTCTGTTTTCTTAATCAAATTATATATTTTTCTCTTTTTTTTTTATTTACATTAAATAAGAAGTAAGCGCGTATAAAATATAAAATTCAACCATTATTATGCTTACATTCTGTATGTGTAAAGTAAAAACATGTTGTTACCCGATAAACAATTTTTCACGTATAATAGGATAAGTTTTTTAATTCATCGATTGATCAAATGTAATTTTGTTCCATAAAAGTTGCATTTGCGCATAATACGATTGATCAATCGATGAATTTAAAAACTTGCCCATAATACATCTTCTTCTTCTTCCTCTTACATTAAACATCGCTCCTGTGTTTGAACACAACTACTCTCATATGCTTGTGGTGCGCATACTGATCATTCAATTGCTGCAAGCATATATGGACAATATAATTATATATAAGTATTGGTCCCCAAAAATTTGAGGTCGTTATAGTTGAAAATATCTATTATATAATATATAAATAAGATCAGAAACCTATGCACTTTAATTTTTAATATTTTTTATCTTTATTAATATTAATTTATCATAATATATATATATATATAT